TGAAAAGTAGTTATTAGTAATGGTTTATGATTGATTTTCTATACTCTATAAAGTTTAGTAATGAAGCAGAGTGTAAAACTCAAAAAAAATAAACCAAAGCTTTTGGATTAGATCGAGCTAGTACAAATAAAAGGAAGTAAATAATTAAGGAACAAAAAGCTAGCAATAAAAAAAAAAAAAAATTAAAAAAAATATAAAAAATGGCACATTTTATGAATTAACTTGTCTGTGATTGATTGATAATACACAATTTTAAGGAAAGTTCAAGTCCAAAAAGGCAACTAAAGGAGGATAATTACAACTTTTGTGTTAGGGTTTTATTAGACACACTTTATCAAAGGCTATTGTTCCCACCAAACTACGTAAGAAACAATTTCTCAAAGACTATAACAAGTAATGTTACATAGTAGTTACTCGGCAAATTAAGCAAGAGATTCGAATCATTTCTAGTTACTATTAATTTATTTTTTGAAAGCTAACTTCTTTTTACTCAAATCTATCTACCTGCATGATGCCATAATCAGTCTATCTATAACTAATACTAAAGTAGTAACCGTTAATGTCATCTTTTCATAAAGTTGTACACGTGGTGTTATCTCATGAAAAATTTTCCCGCTCAAATGTTAAGGCCATCTATCTATATACCTAAACTATATTAGAGTTTTTTTTGGAGGGAATTTTCCCTCTTAAAGTCTTTTTTTTTTTTTTTTTTTTTTTTTTGTTTAGATTTTTGCAAAATTATTAATGTGTCTAGAAACTTTATACTTTAATTATTTATTATTAAAAACCGAGCATGATTCGGATATTATCTAGTAAGTAACTAAGATAATAACCAATAGTTCTCAAATTAATTACTATCAAATAAATGATTGAAATTGATAAGGCCGAATAAAAATACTCTTTCTATTTCTTTTGCTTCATATCCATTTTTATAATTAAAAAAACCTAATATTATCACATTCTTTTGTGTGATCGATGATAAGGAAAGAGGATTTGAACTCAATTTTGAGAGGGGATCAACAATTCAACACCCCCTTCCTTCATGCAATTATGAGCTTATGACTGTAAAAAATGAAGGTAATTCTTACTGAATGTTGAGAAGTGATCTGCCCACCTAGAATGGATTATCAAACTGATGATTTACCTAATGATACTTCCTTCGTTCCTTAATGATATGTTTTGTTAAAAAAAAAAAAAAAAAAAGGCTATACCTAGCATGTAAATTATCTAATTTTTTACTAAGATAGTTACATAACTCTAGCCTTAATTGTAGTCTTATTCGTAGCCTTACGTTGCTGTTGTACGCTTGATATATAATTGACCAAAATCAATGAGAAAGCATAACTCAATTTCTCACATGGTATCAAGCTTCTCTTCCCCAAACCGTGACAAACCCTAATCCTCACCTGACATAAACTTTCTCCCTTCTTCTCAATATCCTATTAACTTTTTCAATAGTTGAACAGACAATTTTCCATGGCGCTCTTAGATAGTGTTAACAACATCAAGAACTTCATTCCTATTACCCTCGAGATGGAAAAAGTTTATTAGTATTCGTCGTGGGCAAAAGGATTAAAGCTCTAGATGTTGTTAACAAGAACATAAATTTGTTAGTTTATTCAACAATTGAAGAGAGAACAATTGTGTCAATTATTCTGGGACGAAGGGAGATATTATTGCTAATAGAGCACATGTACTAATAATTTAATTATCTCTTAATGATTATCGTGTTATTATGCAATCTTTTAGCTAGTTAGTGATAATAATGTACTTGTATGACTTATCTCAAAATATATGTTAGGATTCTTATGAAGACTTATTCAACACTATTATTGAAAGTTCTTCCTAAATAAAAAATAAAATTATTAGAAAGTTGCAAAATAAAGTTCGATTTATTGGCCGTGTTTTTAGTGAATCGGGCACCCACTTAATTCGGCAGTAATATACAAAAGGTTAGGAATTGGGCAGAAAGTAAATACTCATACAGTCATACGGTCATACCATATAAGGAAGAGTGAAGAGATGTGAGATGACCTTACATACGTTAAAGAAGGGCACTCCTATAAAAACATGTGTTTTAGAAAAGTACATCAAAAAGTATTCTTTTTAAAGATTAACACGTTTTGAATGTACTTCGTATAAGACAATGAAAATCTCATGCCTGATATGGTGTATATAAAAATGACAATGCTATATGTAGCTTGACTCTAAAAACATTAAGTATACTTCTTAAAGTGGTGTAAATTTGAGAATATATGACAAAAAACACGTATATATTAGTACTCATATAATTATTGTTTAGTTATTCTCAATATTTTCTTTTGTTAGCTTTTAAGGGCTACATTTAACATTTTCTTTTATAAAATTTGTTTGGCAAACACTTTAAATATAAATTTTAAGTCATGAAAATGATGACTCGTATTGAGAAGTTAATTACTTTAAAATATTAGTTCAAAATAAGGACCTAAAAGGCTGATATTTATATTTAAATAATCTTTATTTTTATTTACTACGTATAAACAAAAGTCATTAACCAATTTTGGCTGATTAAACGACTTGCTAGTTTTGACCAAATGACTCGTCATATAATCAACTACTTTAGTCAATTTTTCAAATATTGATGTCAACATAAAATCTAAATCTAAAACTTAATCTTCTAAATGTTTCAAAATGATTCAATAGCATGCATCTCGAATAAACTACGATAAAATGAACATTTCTACTAGACATAATGTCTTACAAGTTAATCTAGTCCAAATTCACCTACCACTTTATAGATGAAAGACGACTTTTTTAAGTGTGCTCTACAAAACAATCAAGCATATACATCAAAATAGTTCCAAAATAGATTAAATTAGCCTACAATGTATAAAAATAAATAATATATGGATCAAAATCAAATTATTCACAGCATATAAACGTGCTAGTAGCTCTTAATTATCCCTAGTTTCCAAACACAAACCCTAGAAAAATTCAAAAGGCCAGGGTTCTTCAAACAATCATAAATTAAATATGATAAAATTAGGTCAAAATACAAGATTTAATTTACTCTACTCTAAGAAACAGTATTATGAGTATAAAAATCAAGTTGGGATTACAACCATCTTCACTTCACTGACATGCTCATCAAATCTACCCAAAAATACAAAACAAACTAAAACAAACACAAATAAACCAACAATAATCAACATTAACTTACCAATTCCATGACTTTTAACGTCACCAACTTCCCTAAACTCCTCATTCACTTCCTTCACTTCACTAATCTCATCACAAACACTATGAACATCTTCACCATCATAACTCAAATCACTATCATCCTCAAAAAGCCGCCTCCCTCTAAGCCTCCCGGTCTCAAACCCGAGCTTTCGATCCCTTCTAATGACCTCCTCTATAGCCAATTCATTGTCTCTAACCCTCCAAACTTCACCACTACTTCCTGAAATAATAGACGCTGGGGAACAATATGAAAATGACAATGATCTCTCATTTCTTGTTGTTGTTGTAGGGTGTTGTTGAAGGGCAGTCATTAGATTTCTTGGAGAACTATCAAATTCTACTAGGTTATCAAAAGTGTTACATTTTTCAGTTATTGAGGATGTTTGTATGAAATTTTGAAATTCTTTTTCAAGGGTTTTCCATTTTTGCAAGAGTTTTGCGGATGATTTTATGGGTTTTTTCTCTTCTTTTTCACTTGTATTTTCTCCCATTATCATATGGGATTTATAATTTGGTGTTTTATGGAATTTATAATTAACCTCCCACGTTCTTAATTTATACCTTTTTTATAGAAATTATTTTGAATGCAATCTTATCATAAGTTTGATTTTCAAAAATTTGTTGTCATTTACTTCTCTTTAAATGTCCAACGGCATGCTGTTATAAGATCTTTAACGTCCCAGCTATGTAGTCCAATTTGTTGGATTTATTTATACAACTGTTCAATGATAGAGTAATTATTTCTCCCTTTTTCTTTTGAAAATATGAAGTAATATACAAAGTATGTGATAGTCCTCATTTGCACAATACTTCGCATCAGCTTAGGTAGCTGCCCTGGCTGGTGACTTTATTTCAATCAATAATTTTAGTTAAAAATTGTTGGTGAAATTTTAATATATGACCTTGTGGAATTTTGAAATGAGTAGCAATAGTAGATTATATCTTTATACTATCTCCATTTCTTATTATTGAAAACAAAATAATTTTTTGTCTTACAAATAATACTCTTTGTTGCAAATAATAAGAGATAGATGTAGTAACATTATTTCTAGTCCACTCATTTCGAGTTACAAGGATGACACTATGTAAATTAGTTGCACTTTAACCTAGATAGATCGAACATGTTGTGAAGAACTCATTAGGGTTGCACATGATGATTTCAGTTGCTAAGTTATAATTTCAACTTCAAAATAACCATCAATTCTAATATAATAACCACCACTAAACAAATTAAGTTGGAAGAGGAAAACTGGTGTCCTCTTGAAAGAACTTTTTCAAACTTATGGTCAAGGAAATCATCAATTCTAATATAATAACCACCACTAAACAAATTAAGTTATAATTTCAACTTCAAAATAACCAAATTAGAATTGCTAGGAGCATCACAATGATGTAGATAAAAATTTAGTCGTAATTTGTAGAGGTTCCAAGCTACTAGCTTAATCATTAGTGTTTAAATGGTATATTAAAGGCTCTTGAGTCTTGACCAATGGAACTTATTTGATGAGCCTAGCTAGTAGCTAGCCATTAACGATGCTCTAATAGGTTATCCCTCGATATAAGACATTCTAAAACAATTTTGTTAGATTAACGAGTAATTTCATTGACATTTTACAGCAATAGATTAATTTAAAATAATAATGTCTAATAATATATATCAGACAGATCTACTTTGACAGATTTAAGCTTTGTTCTCCTTAAGATATGTATATGTATTTCAGCAGAAAATAAGTTAAGGTATAATAAAAAGATAGACGTAGCACACTTTCAACAAGATTAAGTTCAACAAAACATGAATCCAGTTTTGCAAAGGTTCGGCAAAATTTAAGTTAAACAAAAATAAGTTAATCACATTGCCTAAATCACATTAATCACATTGGTAAATATTAGACGCAGCAATTGCGCAAAAAACACTAACCGTCTTCACCCGGAAGAACACTTACCATCCTCAGAAAATAATCATACAGTTAGATCCTACGAGAAATGCAAGGCTCATTTTCACCCACTTCAACATCAAGGTGTGAAGTTTTCCAGCTGATATTCGGAGCAAGGAATGAAGCCGCATTTTCTGCACTAATCTGTGCTATTTCCCTAAAGCATCATCCAATCTACTAAAATTGGAGGAAAACAAAACCACCCTAATACCATATGACGTGCTTTAAGTTACAGAAAAACTTTATGTTGACTACTCAACTAGCAGAATTGGGATTCGATATATCCTCAATTACACCTTTACCATCCATGGCATCGAAGTAGAAGAAATTCTTGATTGGCTCTCCTTTGCATGATATAGCTTTAATGACTTCCTAAGATTGGAATGCCAAATTATAGAAGAATAATTAGAAATTATAATTATAACTGATGATCAACTAAAACAGTCGAAAGAAGAATGATTTTTTTAGTTACCTGTCCAAGAATCCCGCCAATAATGGCACAAACTGGAGGGAACTCTAATTTACCCAGCAGTAATCTAGAGAGGAGGGAATCGGGAATTTGAGATTCATTGAACAACTGTAACAGATAGAAGAAGTTAATATTACAAATTGGCAGATCATTACAAGTAAATAAGACTTCTAGCATACCTGTGCTTCACAGAGTTCCTTCCTTAGCTTCAGGACATTAGGAAGATCAGCAAGTGAGATTTCACCAGAAGTACGTGCCTCTGACTCCTCGAACTTTTCTATGACTGACCAGTAGATAAAAATGGAAAAAGATTATAGATATCAGGAAACCTCTACGTCTCAAAGTGGCAAAGAGTAAATAAGCTACAATCTTCGTTTGGCGGATAAAGATGGGAATAATAGTAGAAAGTCGTCGAGGATGTGTTTGGATCAAGGAAGCTCTTTAATATTTCAATTTATATAAATCCTACGGAGAAAGCAAAAAGGCTGAAGGCCTTCAGATTTTATTTGTTTTCTTGGCAATGAAAACAGCCCTCAAACAATTCATAATTTTGCTTGAGAAGAGACCTATGTATTCCCCACCTTAAAAAAATTCATTGACAAAATATTTCCAAGAAATCAAAATAGCTCAAACACCTCAAAGCCTTTTATCTGTTTTATCATTTCAATTAAAACATTCAATAGTCTCAAACAATTCATGGACATACATATGACAGTAACAAACCAATACTTGCACACAGCCACAAAGTCTTGAGGAGACACATCGACAGATTTTAGTACTTTTTCAGAAATGGCAGCTCAGTTTTGGCTTGTCTCCGAGTCCAGGTATATTCACTTTCAACTACAGACGTCTAATACTAATCACCTGTGCCCAAAAAGAAAATGAAGAAAAGGATGACTTTCACAATTTTTAGTTCTTTTTTCACTTAACACACGGTACCCTTGTATATGGTTGGCTCCAAGTGTAGATAAACCCTCAAATCAGTTGAGATTTGAGAGCACCTCCTCCCCAGCCATCTCTTAAATGAAAGGATCTTTTAAGTCACAAAAGATACATTCATCCACTTACTTATCTCCTGTCAAGGGTTTCCCAGCCTCTTCTGTCTCATAGACGCTGTCTCGCAGTCAAAAGCCCACATTTCGACAGCATGATTCCACATTTAAGTACATCTGACAAGATTAGTCGACCTCAGATGTAAATTACACATCTCCAGGTGTCCATCTCCAATATCAACCTTGTCAGCAGAGAAGGGTATGAGGGAGCTAAAGAATGGTCTTTATCCAGGAGGGTGGGTGTGGGTAAGGGGGGGGGGGGGGGGTGGTGGGTGGTTCAAAAACACGTGCAGCTAATAATGATTGGAATAGCTGCCAAACATATGAAACCTAAGCCTATTAACTACTTATTTGGCATTCTTTTACTGGGTTGTTGAATAGAAAAAAATCTGCTTGCCATAAACATGTGGCGTGAAACCTAAAAAAATAGAATGAAAAGTTCAAGGCTTCAAGCACAACCAATATTATGCTTTCCAAGGAAATCACAAATAAACTATACCATTTTCTCTCTCCTCTTCAATCCTTACCCTCCCTCTCTACCCATGCCAGTCATCACAAGCTATACTGCAACTTATCATCAACAGAAAGCGCCAATATTCTCCGTAACCACCCCACTTTCTGGATATTCTCATATCAAAACTTAAGGCTTCAAGACCAGTTCAGAGGGAAGGAGCTCGGACAAACAAGATATTCCCCTTGTTCCAGGACAACAAATCCCCTTCGTTCATAATCTTTATTTTCTTTAAACATCCTCTTGCTGAACTCCAGGTGAAACAGACGTTCATCACGTGTCAAACAATGGCACTCATTGAAAGTATCTGGTTGTACATCAAATATGCAAGTGTCTTGTACATAGATTTTTCAGACCATTAAGTGTTTATACATGAGCAGTAACACAAGTGGCTTAAAGATAGCTGGTAAACTGCTACTTGCTTGGCAACCCAATAATATTGTCAGTGAATATTTTCATGAATTCAGGCAACCTGAGTTCTAGCAGTGTATTAGAAGTAACGGGATCTGCTAGTATTGTCATTTATAAGTCAAAAAGCTCTCTTGGATAATGGAGGTCAGGATTCAAGAATAATCTGTTCCTTTGCTAAGGTAAAGTAAAGAACAGATGGCCCTAAAAATAGTAAACTTGCCTTTTTTATCCTCATCTAAGCATGGAGGCAATAGATGCTACAACATTAGCTGTATTGTCCTGCCAAAGTGAGAGCTATTCTAAATTGGCCTTTGCACCTCCCTTCAAACCCCAAAATGAAGGCCATTCAAATATATTTAAAGATTAATCTACTTAAACTCGTATATAATCCAAAAAAAAAGCCAAAATATACTAATTTTTCAGTAAAAAAAATAAAATTAACTGAAAGGAACCACAGCTATGTTTGTGTGGAATGTAAACCGCACTCCCACAGCATAAAGTAGCAATTGTAGCATAAACAATTAAGAAAGAAGCATAGCAGCTGAAGACCGTATGGCAGGATTTGGTAAGAGGGTGAAGCCAGACCTCAAAAAGATAAATGACAGAAAATTCGACAACGACAAAGAAAGTCAAACCCTAGCCCCCCTTTCCACCTGAAAAAAGGCTGTGCCTGAGCTGATGCCAGGTAAGAAATTAAAAATTACTTACCCTACACCCAAAATAGAGAAACTTCAATGGGAAAAATGTTTTGTGTTTGAAGATAATAGAGAAGAAATTTTCAAAACAAACATATACTACTACAGTACTATCTTCCAAAAAACTAATGCCTAAAGAAATCACACTTAAAGAGTACTAATCCAGGTATCATTGACAATCAAAAGATATTCTTAACGAATAGAAGTTGCATGCTGGAAAAAGTATTTAGATCCTAAAAGCAACTAAACACTAATAACAAAACCAGCAAGCCTATATCGGTCCATAACCAGTCAATGACAGATTGCCAGCCAAAAAAGCCAATCCACACATCACAACAATGAACAATAACAGATCTAAGTATTCAGAGTGTATGATGAAGAATGGGTACAACAGCGACAGTATCTATAAAAACACAAAGTAGAAGACAAACAGAAAAACAATTACATACCTCTCATGGCAAAGAAAAGTTTGGAGACTCGCTTAGGAAGATTCTTCCATGGTACTGCAACCGCTTCCTGCCATAAGAGACATCTTAATAATGAGTTACAACATTATTTCATGACACCAAAATTTCTGACCCTGGAGCTGGAGCAAGGAGAAGGTAAGAAACCCAATTCCACATTTTCTAGTGCTTAGCTGAATAGTTATTGAAGCATACCGCAAAACTAGGATACTGCAGGCAGCATTCAACAGTCTCATTAACCTGTTTCTGCAAGGATGAAGAATAACACCACTTACAGCAAATTGAAGAAAAAAAGATACAGATATTAATTTTTTAAAAAAAAAAAAGATATTTGCTTATTGTTCCTTTATGATTGTCAAAAATTGTACGAATTTTTTATACCCTTCTTAGCTTTGAGAACATAAATTAATAATGTAATAGTCATCAACTACTTAGAGAAAAAGAAAGGGAAAAAAAAGGTAGATGAATAGTTTGTTACAATCAAATTTGACCTAGTTTCTTAATATGATTGTACCAACAACCTATTAAAAAAAAATTACAGGATGGAGGTGGTAATATACTTCTATTTTTATTTACTTGCACACATTTCTGATTTCACGCTTGCTAATGTACTAGTATTTAAATCAAAATTTTCTTTAATCATCAATAAGTAAAAATTATTTTAAAAAAAAATAAAAAAAAAAATTAATGCTGAGAAAAATAATCAAACCTGTCAATATTGATACCTATTAATGACAGTGACAATTACAGCAACATAAAGAAAGTGGAAGAAGATCCCTTCCTCAAGAACAACAATATCACTATCATTAAATCCCTGTTTTGTTTGACTTATTTGTCTTTTTATAGACTAGATAAGCTCTAATAATTCAAGATAAGTTAAAACAAAAGAAGTTCAGACTTAATCAAAACATTTCTGACCAGTACAGTAAAAATAAGCCGAACAGAACAGAGCCTAAAATGTTGGACTAGGACAGCATCAGCATAGGCAAAATTTTCACACTCAAGATAAGGCTAGTCTGACTACAGCCGAATCAGTTTGCATAACATAAATAACACTCATAACAGTGACCCTTTTAAATATGACGAGTAAATACGCAATGACAAAATTTACATTTGCAATCCAAAAAGCAAGAGCTAACCTTTGTACAAGAATGGTCCTGCAGATCAACAAATATCTCACCGCAAGAGTCGCGGCAATCAACTGAATAAAATGCAATGCGCTTCGACAACTTCCGGCATTTCTCATCAATTGCTTTCTGAAATTTGAGAGCATCAACAGGAAGAAGAATGTATGTCAAGTGTCATCAATATTACATGAAGGTGCAGAACATCTCAGGGTGCTACAAACTACACGGCAAATTATACAATGAAATATATCTAGTCTACCTTTGTGCTTAGAGAGGAATTGCTGACTATAATAACATCAAACTTCTCAAAAAAATCTGTACTGAGACTTGACAAGTCACCTGCAAGTAAAAACTTTATTATAAACCTTCTCACCAGAAAACCTATATGGGCTATATCAATTGGAACTCTGAAGAGAAACTTATCACTTGGAAATAACAAATGATAGTTGATAAAAATAAATTAGTTTGGATAGTTAGTGTAGCTTGCTTATAGTAATTTCTGAATATGAAGGCAGAAATCAGCAAAACCTTGTTCTCAGAAAGCCATATTATCCAATTCCCTAATACTGAAAGAGCTAAAGAGAACCCTATCTTGTGTCCTTGACAGCTTCTTTAACTTCCTTGACTCACGGCAGAATTAGCAATGACCATTGATGCAACTCTTCTGTACCATACCTTTAGAGAGGACATTCTTTCTTCCCTAATTAAATCCAATGTTTTAAGGTGGAGTCTTAATGCCAAGCGAAATCAATACTGAAAAGTAAAACAGATACCTGTCCACCTGCTAAATTATCCTTTAGATGACTAAACCCTTCCTTTAATGTTCTGCAACATCACAAAAATAGTAAAATACTCCCTCTGTTGTTGATTAATTGTTCCACTTTGACTTTTAAACTATTCACATGTCTTGCATTGACTAGAATTTTCCATAATTATATAAAAACACATGTTATTAGATTTGTCCCAGTGTATATTTTCAAAACATCAATTTTATAATTTCAATAATAATTAGATAAAGAAATTAATGGTTAAAAGTTGTGTATTGGCAAAGGTGAAAGCCAAAGTGGAATAGTTAATAAAACCAAAGGGAGTAATTATGGTCGTCAAAGGTTCCACCTTTATGCAGCCTCACAACTCAACCTGTATTGCCACACTAAAAATTCCCCTCCTTCCAGAGAAACATGTAAACCTCCTTCCTCTCACAATTCTTTCTTAATCAACAAGTCGAAGTTGTGACCAACCTTGCTCTTGTCATTACTCACCTCAATCCTGAGAAACATGTAACCCTCCTTTCTCTCATAATGCCTTTCATAATGAATAAGTCAAAGTTATGGCCAACATTTTTGTTGTCATCACCACAACATCATGCTGTCAAACCAAGATACCGTGGCCACATTTACAATTTTCATACAAGCAGAAACATGTGTCAAAATGTTGTCATGCTCTGTTACTTGGTTTGAATTGTCATAGACTTGAGGTCAAGGAACCAAGTGAAGCAACCTTGAAAATAGTGTCAGGCTTTCTGGCTGAAAAAAGTCACAAAACAGTCCATGCCATGGCTTAGTCAAAAGCAGATAGCTTTAACTAAAAGTCTAAGTGTCTCTATACACTACACTATCCAATTTTATGATGACAATATCTTCTCACATGCATGTCCAACAGTTTGCTTGGACAGTTGGATGTATAAGCTTGACTATAATCCTTAAAACTAATAGATAAACAAAATAAAGGTAAACTTTCCATCATGAAAACTTTTAATGATTCAGAGTCCAAATAAAACAGCTTCTCATTTTTTTCAAATACGGCTAATCAGCAAGCTATGGCTCTCTTATAAAATAAAAATTTGACATTATTGACCAACAGTGTGTCTTTGAGAACTTATATTTCAAGAGGTAAACTCTGTTAAAGTGCAGAAAACTTTAGACGTCTAAGTTTTACTATGTTTGTTTAATAAGGAAATCCTCAAGTTATATTTGGACTATTTAGTTTTCCCTTCAAAACTGATGGAATTAACCTAAAATAATAAACTTTTTAGTTCTTCAACCAACTTGTTATCCTCTTTTACAAGCCAAATAATAGAAGGCTATATAAATTATTACTTTTCACGCATTAAACAGTCAAACTAAAACTGATAATTTATACAGTTCTGCTTTAATTACATTCCTTAATCTTTTAGAAAGGCCCTGCTACACAGCTACAACAATATCTTACTACAACTCCGTCGCAAGCAGTCAGGCCCTAACACTTGTTTTACAAAAGAAATTTAGTCCCAAACTTCAAAAGTTAACAACTAAGTGTCTTTTCCAAAGTTCAATGAAAACCAATACAGTAACCAACAACAAATAAATTATAGAACTTGAACAGAATAAAATAGAGAACATAAATAAGGTATAAGGTATTTCCCAAATTGCATACCTTTTTCCACAGAGACGTGAACCATTGGGTTGAAATCCTTCAAAGAGTCACAACAAACCTCTGCTATAGAGCGCCCTGCATAGAGCTTCTCGTCTGGAGTTATTAAGAAGTTAGCATTCAGCGCTTCTTCCGTTACTGGACTATCGTCCACTAATGTAAGACTTCCAACACCAGCTAACACTATGTTCTTGCAGACCTGCAATGTACTCAAAGAAACACCAGCATATAAAATGTTTGTAACATCTTCGTTTTTTGCATCAAGAAAAATTTCACAAAGGATAAGAAAGAAACCTCAGCAACTGTTCCCTTCATCCCACCAACCAGCACATGCGCTTTACTCAGCCTACAACACAAAACCAATCAATCATCAAACTTACAAGCATTTATGTGTAAACTGCCAATAATCATTATCAACAATACAAAAACACTACCTCCTCCAATAAAATGAACCCATCTTTAGAAGATCACAAAAATGTAGTTGTGACCTTTGGTAAGAACTTTTAATCCCTCACAAACTTGGATAAAGCCAAGCAAATTTTCCACAAAAACACGCAATCTTACTTGAAATACCAGAAAACAATGCATTATCCATATCACACCATATGAGTAGGTCCTTCATGTGTAAATTGCTGATAACTTCGACAATACGAACACACTCCCTCCAACAATGTATTAATATATTTACAAGCATATTTCTACTCCAAACAAATATAGCTAACACCAATCAAATTTTGCACAAAAACAAGCAACTTTACTTAAAATTGCCAGAACACTATGCATATCCATGTGGGTATCTCCTAAAAGTATAACATGAGTTAAATTAGACACAATTCGAACAAATTTCTTACAAAACATTTAAGTTAATCCACTAATATTCAGTGTTAAATTTTGTTCAAAACATTGCACATGGTTAAGCAGATTAAAATCAATCATAATCATGAATTTATAAAATAACAGCTAAATAAACATTAATATTAATAATAATCATCTTTCAAAAAAAAAAATATAAATAATAATCAATTTGGGTATACCTTCGTTGAGCATCAGCACCCCATACCCTAATTTGACGATCATAAAGCGCAGTTTCTTGCTCCGTTAACGCATCTCCATCCATTTTCTAAAAATCAACCCTAATAATTACAACTAAAATTAGCCCTAAAAGCAACAAATTTGTAACAAAATTAATATAATTTTAACAATCAACAAGATTAAACTAGAAATTGCAGAAGAACTAAACAAAAAAAAAGTAAGAATTAAGGCGAAAAAATGGAATAAAGAACTCACAGGATTAAAAACTGGAGAGAAAGTGTTAATGGCTGAGTGACGAATAACTTTCCAAGCAGAGGGAAGTGAAAGTGGAAACATTTATATGGTTGGGGTTTATTCCGTCTTTTGTTGTGTTCTACTTCAACGGGTCAACTACTACTTTTCCATGTGTGACTTTAGCCTTTGCTATTGGCGCGCTATTAAAAACTGACTCGATTTAATTAAATCCAATCTGATGTGAAAGTGATTTGATTTAGGTTTCGGCCTAGATGAAACACGGTGATTTAACATGAATTAAACTCAATCTAGACCTAACTTGGATAGATTCGGCCAAACCCAACCTAATGACTCTAATTGTCACCACTAACGAGTTCGACAAAATTACTTGTAGTCGAGTTAGATGTGAGTAGATATTGGATGCCAACAAGCAGATATTATAGAAAACTGTCAAAATAGTTGTGTTTGGTGAAAATGTTCAACAAAAAAACTAGCTATTAGAAAAGGTAAAATAATTTTAATAATGGAAATTTAGTAGCCTTTAACAATCACTACTCCAAAAACTATTGTTAAACAATACTATTTCAAAAGCTAAATGCTATCAAAAGTTGTGGTTAAACACACCTTATATTCACCAATATTTTGGGATTGAATTGTTTATCGGACTTGACAAGTGTATACGAAGTATACGAAATCGCTCGTAGTGTGGAAAAATTATTTGATGTTACAGGTTATCTTGCATCCGAGAGAGCGGTGTTGATACTTTCGATACAAAGAGTGAATAGACTAGCTTATAATTAGGTTTGTTTCAAGGAACGACTCGGATTCATCCTAACTAGCTTAGCTAATTGAAACAAAATGAATCGTTTTTGGAGCTATCTAAGGGTTCCATGTTGGGTCGGTACCTATTCAGTATTCACTATCAAAGTCACAAAACTGGCTTGTTTTGCTCAGGATGTGATTTCAAGAAAGAGATATTAATGGTATGTCTAAACTATGGATCTAATACTTTGTTTGAATTGAGCAAATTTGGAAGGGAAGAAAAGAGAAAGGGAGGGATTAAAAAGGAAATAGAAGGATTCATTTTCCTTCCCTTATTAATAAAACAAATCTTTTCTGGTGTTGAAAAGATTTTGAGGAAAAATGTAATTTTGTCTAATCTCACCTCTTCCTTTCTCTCCTTTCTTCCATTTTTTACTTCCACTTTACTATCCAAACAAATCGTGATAATCAATTTTTTTTTTTTTTAAGTTTTTACTATAGTCACCTCTTTATCATAGGCTTATAAGAAGGTTTTAGAGTATTGATCATGGCTTGATTAACGAAGAAGAGTGGAAGTCAAATAAATAGTGATGTGCACTCAAAAGCCAAAATTTGAGAATAAGGGTCATTTCAACCGTGATTGCATGACTTAAAATTGTTATCGATGTTGCGAGTGTAAGAAACCATTGCATTTGGGAAAGAATTTGATGATGACACCATTGTTTGTTACAATTATAAATCCTACAAGTGTTTATAGAAGGGAGATGCGTCTAACTTTAGAGTCTTTAAAAATGTGATTAAAAACCAAGTCTACTTGACAACCTTAGCTAAAGCTCATACATGCATGTAAATTGTAATTTGGTTGGTTGAAAGATCTATTACAAGATTAAAACTCTCTCTATTGGGGTGAGTTATCCTTGTTCAACCACTTTCAAGTTTCAATAATATTCCTATTATTATCGTGGGATCATACATTCTTATGGATTTGGTTTAATTTGACTTTTAGGTTTACTTTTGTGCTCAATAATTTTGTCATGTACTTGTTTGCTGAAGTTCAAGGCAAGTTTTGCATGACTTATAACCACAATACACTATACAACTCTAACCATATAATTCTCATACTTATTTTTGTATTGTATATGCGGTTGCTACAACCTTCACATAATATAGTTTAAATTTCCTTATCTTCGTGTTTCAATCTTATACCAAGGTTTTCCTTATCAAAGCATTGTTCTCAATATATTGCATATAGTATATGTTGAACTTGAAGTAGTTTTGATGATGATGGAAAAACAAACTTCAAGAGATTTCTCTAAGTATTGAACTAGCACAGGTGAAGCAGACTCGGGGAGTGGAAGAGTAATCTGGCTATAAAGATCCAAAGAGAAATAAGGGAAACATAAAGAGAATAGAAGAAGAGTTCCACACTGGAAATAGAAGTAGTTATCTTTAACATGAACACAGAGAGAAGCTTCCTAACAGGAGCAAGACAGGGAAATTTTCCGAAGAACTACCATTTAAATGACGAGTTTTGAGAGCAACTACCATTTAAAACTTTTTTTTGAAAAAACTACCACAAAAACATAAAAGTTTGAGTAACACTACCTTGACAACTTTTCCAGCTAGAATCTCCGATTGTAGGGCCCACCATTTAGTATTAAACCACCTAAAATGACGAATGTGCCCCTAATTTAATCTGGACTCAACTACCTATCTCCCTTCTCATTAATTTCCCGCCTAACTTCCTTCATCCACCCTCATTCACTCTTCTCCATCTACTCATCTCTGTAATTCAAAGAATATTCCCCCCTTTTGACCTTCCATTTCTCATTCACAATTTTTGAGGGAATTCCGCATAAATATTTTGAAGATAGGATGAGTTGATTGACATGAGGAATTATACATGGATGAAGTCAATTAATTGCTGCATATACATAAACAAATAATGAGTAATGAACCCTAGATTGGATAATACAGAACAATTGCCCCAAATTCCCCAATTTCAGAAACCCCTAGGCCAATTTCAATTTTTTTTTTACCATTAACCCTAATTTGAAGATTCAATTGAGAAATTAAATTGTGTCAATTACAATGCGAAATTAGATATACATTACCTTGAATTGAGTTCGCCAAACAATTTTGCTTTTTTTCACCCCCTAAATTGATGATACAATCCGATGATAAACTTGAAGACTTTCGTTAAGGTTTAAGTTAAGTTTATTTTTATTAGAATTGCTGTAAATATATATTGGATAAATATGCATGAGATCTATTAGAAACGTGATAAAGCTTGGCAAGCTAAGTAAAACCGGAAGTTTTATAAAAGATAGTTTTAATTTATGAAAAAGATCTTCAAGTGATTTTATTTTATAAAATCTAATTTATAAAATATTTATCTTTCTCTAAATTCTATCTTTAATCGGTTTTCATATATATTTTCATAAAAAGATTCATTTCATGTTGCGGCAATTTTAATGTTTATCTTTTTGCAAAACCCTACTTAGGATATCACTAGGCGAAATATACAAATGGGCACCGGTTCAAAACCCCCATTTAGCACCGGTTTTGAACCAGTCCTCATTTGAGGGATGCCAAAAACCAAAAGATTTCGCATCGATTCTTGCTGTGAACCGGTGTGAAAAATGGCCCAAAAAAATATAAAAAAAAAAAACTTTAGTTTCAAAACCGGTGCCAAAAATGCCCCAAAAAATAAAAAAAAAATTTTTTTTTTGCATTTTTTTCACTTAAATTGTACCAAATACTTATATATAATCATACTATACATAAAACACATATAGTTTCTTCAATAACTTGTAATATTACACTTTAAAAAACTGGAAAAAAAAAAAAAGAACTACAGAATCAAGGTCTGGAGAAATGAATTTTTGAAGACCATGACCACTTTGAATAGGATGTAAAGTAGAGCTAGAAGGCGGACCTTGAGCAGACCTCGTCAATTGGTTCCCTGGAGATGGAAAATATTGCTGCTGCATATTCTGGTTAGGTGGTAAAGGCCCTCTATAACCAAGATTTTGTGACGCTGTAGGCATCCCAGAACCCATCGACATTACAGGTGAACTAGGCACAGAAGATGCTTGAGGTGTAGCGGCAGGAGGTAGATTTATTTGTGGAGGAGGGATCCTGGCTGAAGCTGGTCCATGCAATGCTGACCTCACAATCTCAGGTTTCAATTCTCGCTTAGTCTGTGCTGCTGTTACCAGCTTGAGAGCATTATAAAACTCTTAACGACCAAGGAAACCTACACAATTCTAATCGGCATGCATCCATATCTACAGCCAATCGAACAAACACACATCAATATCTATTTCAGTTAACAATTGTTGGAGCATTGACAAAGTAACTTTTTAAACCTCCATATCACTGCAGGAGGAATACTAACTTCATTACTAGATGTTCACATCACTAATTCTACCATAAAAGCCTATGACATATACTTCGTAGAAAAATACCTACTCTATACAAATTCTCTCTCAAAATGTGACCGCTCGCCTCTTGGATGCCATAAACTTTCTTTTCAACAAAAGGGTTCAACTATGGACAGCCATCCTATGTACTACGTATATACCTCCTACAACAAGTCTACTCAACATTGGGGTTCCGGTCCAACTCAACCAACTAATCCATAAAATTGGCTAGACTTTTCTCACAATCTTAGCAATTTGAGCTAGGATATAAGATAAATACTCGTAAATAACTAAATATTCGAGCATATAGCAGAAAATTGTTAGATTTTCCCCCTTTCCAAATTCATTTTTTTAGTCCGTTTGTGGTATGCTCAGTCTTGTACGCCAATCATATCAAGAAAGTACTTATCAATTCATTAGAGATTTTAATCTCAAAGACATAAGTTTTCCAGAGAGGGAGGGGTCATTAACCAAAAGAAAGAAATCAAAAACATGAATTGATGAATGAATGCACATGAGCAACACATGATAATTAATATTCACAAATCTGCCCAAAAGTCTCAACAAATCAAACATAAAATGTATTGATTGAAATCTAATGGCAAATAGGTGATGATTATCATTTGGGTGTACAATCTCATATATTGGACTTTCATCATAGACATATGGACAGGAAAAAAAAAAAAAAAAAGGGGGAGGCCATTTAAGAGTCTTAGTTCCCCCATAACTATCACTGACAACCCACCTTCTTCCATAACTACCAATTCTGCCTAAAGACTACAATCCCAAAACACAAATGGTTCATGGGAGGTCAATGACAAATATTATTCATCACTTCACCAGAAGTTGGGTTTTCTCAAGCAAAGGTTTCATCATTGACAACAAGGACAGAAATACCGATAGTCAATGGGGTAAAACAAGGACAGACATATCGATAGTCAATGG